TTTTTTTTTTTGTGGGGTACAAAAGAGTATATAGCATTTATTGTCTTCAATAAAATTCAGGATCATGCGGCATGCAATATGTCACCTTAATAAATTTACATGTTATTTTTTCACTTTAAAGGGTAGAATTACTCAACCTGTCATAAAATGAGATTGGTGGAATAAAGAATTGAAGAAATTATTATTTTACATTCAGTCCTTCCTTCCGCCACATCTACCTAACACTAAGCAACGGTCAAAACTATTGGGAGAAGTCAAGCTCCAAACTGATAAAAATGATACCAAATTAGGATATTTGTGTCAAATGCCTAATTTTGTTGATTCACTTGTTACGAGTTTGGTGGATTGATCAACCAATTGATTTCTTCAAGGCTGTCCATGACCAATTAGTGGTCAATGAAATTGTATTCTAGGTCCTGTTCGATGATGTAAATTAACCAGGAAATGCTTTATGCGCTACTAGAGTCGCATATTTTGGACTGTTTTGGACTCCAGACAAATGGTATTGCCTGAATTTATTATTAGCATTGCCTAGTCAAAAGGATCTTATTATTTACTGGTTTAAAAATCTTGTAAAAGGAAACATATAATTCCCTAAGCCTTGGTCAACCTATTTAAGTATTTGCATTTGTTTTAACATGATGACACTTGACCTATGTAAAAAAAAAGGTGAAGAGATCAAGTAAATTCTCACCAAAGGGACTGAGTAAAGTGCTATTTATGCAAGTATTCTCATGTTAAGTGTACCATCCTCAAGATATTATCATAGCTTGAAAATCTTTGCTTCTTCCCTGAAAATAGATGCTTAACATGCTTTAGGATGAAAGTAATCAGGCTTTATGTGAAAGTGAAAAATGCTTAGTTTCTCAACATTCTATTTTTTTTGACAAGTTTATGGTGAAAATAATCTTGAAAATACAAAGAGATATAGAAGACCGGTGGGGTTTTACGTGGAAGTCATCAACAGGCAAATGACAACAAAGGCAATAATAGCATATGTAAATTATGAATTCAACGGAAACACATTGCGTTGATTGGACAACACCATATGTCTGTGGGATTTTGTTGAAAAACATCGTCTTAAATCATTCCAGTCTTGTGATTGTTAACACATCTCAAATTTTGTGGACTAATTCAAACAAGAATGGCATGAAAAACCTTTATTCTTCTTATCACGCCTACAAAATAAATATTGTATTTTAATACTATAATCAACATATATTCCACGCTCTGTAGTATCGTGTCTACCTTTGATAGTATAATATCATTTTTGAAGCATTCTTCCTTTAATTCAAAAGTCTTGATATACGCCGAGGGTTGAGATTAACAGTCACTTTGCTGTCCGGAATTGATTTGTAGATTTCAAGCTTCGTTAATTAATGGAGCTGGATGATCTTGAATAAATATTCTAGAACCTATAATTATACAAGGGACAAGAAGCTATGATTTGGATTTTTATCATTTTCATTTTGTTGGTTCGAGAATGATGCTTGAACTTAATGAATTGCAAATTTATTTATTTAATATTTTTTGTTTAGTTAAAATAAATTTTATTAAACATCATGAGATACATAATAATTATCTTCACTAAGAGGGTAAAAAACAAGCCTATGAACAAACAGTCACATTAATAATGGAAAAAGATGTCAAAATTAGAGTCTTGTAGTCCTTGGGGCCAAAAAAAAAATCCAATGATCGAACCATTTGAAACTCTTTAACTCCTTAATATCCCACGGATCCTAATTTACATTTAACTAATTTGTCGATATTGAATTTAAATTCGTTCTCAAAAGTACAAATCTAGGAAAGTACGTACTCCAATGTGGAGATCAGTTGAGGGTAGATTAGAGTTGGCATTCCCTGTTTTAATCCACCACCACACACTGTCACCGATACCTTCACTCACCTTAATACATAACAAGCTATGATTAGATGTTGATCATTTTCATTTTGTTGGTTCTAGAATCACACTTAATTTTAATAAATTATAAATTTATTTTTTGTTTTAAAATTATACATATCATGTTTTTAAACTGTATGTTCAAATCAAATATATATATATATATATATATTCAATACAAGATTTTTTAAAAGTATCTTGACTTAGGAAATTAGGATAACAATTTTCTAAACTCCTGCTGTACATTATATATTATTCTGTTGATAAATAATGCATAAATAACTGCATGTTATTTCTATTTTGCTTATATATTTGGTCAGAATTGGAGAGTACGTACCCATTCAAGATTATTGTAGCAGCAGCTTCCTTGATTTTGTAGATTGTTGAATCCCTTCCAAGATTTGCATAACAGACATTGTCTTGCGGAGGAGTTCAAAACCATTCACCAAAAATGTCAACTGAAATTCATGGAACAAGAAAATCTTAACCATTATCCATGCACTATAAATAGCGCCCTTCTCCCTTCGGTAGATGCACCCACAACTTTTATCAAACCCGCTACACAAAAGAAAGGAAATCATTAAAAACAGCTTACTTACACCCAAATGGCTCCAAGTTTTGATGATAGCAGCTCACTTTTCAACTTTGTCGTCCGAGATGGAAACGGTGTCAAAGGTATGGTGGACGCAGGCATATCAAAGGTGCCCCAGACTTACATCCAACCATCGGCCGAGCAGATTAACAAGGAAAATGCCAGCAAACATGAGCTGCCTCCTATTGATTTGTCGAGGCTGGATGGCCCTGACCATGATGAAGTGGTCAAGGAGATTGTTACAGCTGCTGAGACTCTTGGCTTCTTCCAAGTGGTCAACCATGGAGTGCCTGTCGATCTACTCGAGTCTCTCAAAGAGGCCGCACACAAGTTCTTCGGCCTTCCCCCAGAAAGGAAGGCTGTTTACCGCAAAGAAGTGAGTCCAACCCCATTAGTGAGGTATGGGACGAGCTTTGTGCCGGAGAAAGAGAAAGCATTGGAGTGGAAAGACTATATTAGCATGGCCTACACCAATGATGCTGAAGCTATTCAGTATTGGCCTGTAGAATGCAGGTAATGAAATATGTTTTGTGCTTTCCTTTCTTCTTTTCCTTTGCATTTCGAATCCTAATTAATACAGACGCATATGAATACGAATATTCTCTTTGTAGGGATGCTGCTCTTCAGTATTTGAACGCATCACATGAGATGGTGAGGAAATTGCTGGATGCTTTGATGGGAAATCTTGGAGTGGAACTGGATGACTCAATGATTGATGCATTCATGGGCAAGAAAATGGTTAATATGAATTTTTATCCAACATGTCCTAATCCTGAACTCACAGTTGGTGTTGGGCGTCATTCCGATATGGGTACCCTTACAATCTTATTACAAGATGGAATTGGTGGTTTGTATGTAAAAATTCCAGAAAGCATGGATATAGGAAAGAAAGGAGCGTGGGTTGAAATTCCTCCTACTCCTGGTGCCTTGGTTATCAACATTGGTGATATGCTGCAGGTAAAAATCAGAAAATCAGAAAATATATTGACACTACTTTTATTTTATTGAAAAAATAACCATAATTCTATATATATATAATTATCTAAAAGAATTTTAAAAATTGGAAGATTGAACAAAAAGAAAAAAAAATCATGTTTCAAGTACCTAATCGCCATGTTTTTAATTTGCTTGATGCAGATATTAAGCAATGGAAGGTACAAAAGTGCAGAGCATAGAGTTCGTACAACAAGCACCAAATCAAGAGTGTCAATACCGATATTTACGAGCCCAAAGTCAACAGAGAAGATTGCACCATTGCCTCAAGTAGTCAAGGAAGATGGAGTGACTCGTTATAAAGCGTTTGTGTTTGCAGATTACATGAATAGCTTTTTCGGAAATGCACATGATGGCAAGAAGTCCCTTGATTTTGCACAGATTAATTCTGCTTGATTTAGATTCTAAATTCTTTCGTATTCCTGATCTTAATTTTAACATTCTCTTGCGCTTCTTACTTATTCTTTAAGACAATAAAAGATGGTGACTTACCTAGTCTCTCATTTCCTTCTATTTTGAGACCACAGAATTGTAGTTGGAATTTCTTCTCTAAACCAATTTTGTTTGGTCATGTATTCAATATTTTGACATAGTTTGTAAAACTTTATTTCTTTAATGAATTTCAAAATTGTGTTGTTCCTTTATTAAGAAATAATTAGGAAAATTTCTCTTCATATATTGGAATGCTCTTGGTAGGCCTTATCTTAGGTATGATAAGAGATTAATTGTCTCTATTTCCACAGTCCGGACTTCCCTTCTTAATTAAGACTTGTGCCAATTTTTTTTAATTTAGAAATTCTTATTGCTAGTAATTGTTTGGATATATATATATATATATATGTATATATATAGTCAAAATTAAGCAATATCTTTAGTATCAGAATAGTGATACAATTATTGATATCCCAATAGAATTGAGATACACAGACAATTAGAGAAAAATACAGTGCAACCATTAAAGATTCACTCGAAATACAAAATCAGAGCAAATACACAACTCTCATATCACACTACCACCAATCAGAAGACATTTCTAAGCTATCAATACCGAGCTTGGTTAAAGAATCTGTAAAACAATTAGCTTTTTTGAAGGTATGCACAAATATTCTATCTCGTATAGTCTTCCATACCATGTCAATTTCACCAAATATTTTCCATTTATCTGAGAATCTTCCGTTTAAATTGCCCACTAAGAGATAGGCACCTTGTTATCAGATTCAACAACAAGGGGTTTCTTCTCCACCCAAGTAGATAGATAGAAAACATGAAGAGCAGTTTTAATTGCCATTAGTTCAATATGGTTTATTTCTTTCACATCAAGTGGTCCAAAGAAGATTCCAACCACCCAGCAACATGAATCTCTCAAAACCTCCCCACAACCCCTAAGGCTTAGTTTTCCTCTAACCGAACCATCCACGTTAAACTTCAACTTATTTTCCTTAGGAGAAATCCAAAAATTCTCTTTTTTGGATTTGAAATATGACAAGTAGTGAAATTACATGAATTTGAGCACCATCCAACTCATCTTCATTCCTAATTCCCTCTATAGCCTTAATCCAAAACATAGATCTCATTTTAATTATAAAAAATATTTTTGCTCCATCCAACATTTTGCGATTAAACAAAGAGTCAGTTCTTACAATCCATATAGACCAGAAAGTGGATTAACACAAGGCTAACCATCTTGTTTTCAAGATACCATAAGTCATTAAATCCTCACATGACCTAATAAACTCTTCTTCAAAGTTTGAAGCAACCACCTACATCCCTGCCACTTAAAAACCTAGCTCCATACAATGCATGGAAAGTAGCATGAAATTTGAATATGGCAGTAATCCTCTTCAATTAAACCACACCATATGCAAAGACATTGATTATTATCAAAAGTAACTCCTCAAGCTTTTCAAAAACTTTTTGGCTAGAAAGCAATTCAAAATAGCCATCCATGAGAAACTTTGAAATTTGGAGGAATAATGTAACTCCAAACCAGAATGAACCATACCTTTTGTTCTTTAAGCATTGATTGGGTACCAAGGGTAGTAATGAATTTTTTTACAAAAAAGGATACTTTGTTGTCCAACTCCCAAATCAATTGATCTTTGTGCTCGTCTTTTAAATACACATCCATTAGCATCTGTAGCAATACCTTCAAAGAATCTCCTTCTTATTCCAAAAGATGTCATCTAGCTTGTGGATTTCATGGGCAAGCATGATTCAAAGCTTCTACAACTCGAATTTTCTTCTCAATAGTTAATGAAATAGTAGAGGAAAGGCATTCTTTAAGGGATTAATGGAGACTTGTTTAGCCAACAAAAGAAACACAATGTTCTTATTTCCTATTTCAACTTACACCCGTCACTACCAACTAATTTGTCAACTCCTTTGATCTTCGGTAAGCTCACAATATTTCTCCATACATTCGACATTCTCCCCTTTGGCTCAAATGATGGCAATCACAATGGACCATCACCATTTTTTTTACTATTAAGCCTTTTTCTTAATGTCTCTTGATCCACCCAATAGCGCCACCGCCACTTAACAACACTAAATTCTTTTGTAACAAATTTAAGATGCCCAACCCTCCCAATATTTTCAATCTACACACAACAACCCATTTCACTTTAGCTATTTTCATCTTATTCTCCACAGAACCCCAAAAAAAGCTCTCCTTAGTTGTTCAAGTTTCTTAATTACTCCTTCGGGAGCTTGAAAAACTAATAAATAATACACAGGCAAAGAATTTAAAACAAAATTAATAACTACAATTCTACCTTCATAAGAGAGATACTTCCTCTGTTAGAAGGCTAGCCTTTCTTTGAATTTAGTCACCATATGATTCCATATTCCTAAGCTTCTTGGATAGTCACCTAGTGGAATACCTAGTTACAAGAATGGCAAAGAGCTCTTTTACATCTCAAGATTTTATCTACATCCTTACCCATACCGTTTTTAATTCCTATCTTGAGTCATACATAAGATGTCATATTTGGAAAGTTTGTCTTGCCATCTTGCTATCCTCCTTGACAATGAGGGTTTCTCAAAAATATACTAGGTGGGATCTATTTTCTCCACAAGCCAAGTCGTGCGATACAATATGTACTGTTTGAGCCTATGAGCCATCGAAGCCAACTCACAACACATTTTCTTTAGTGATTAATACTTGGACTCATAATCAGTGAACTTGCTTAAGTGATAAATGGGACATTCCTTCTTCTCCTTTTCAACATGTTACCTCAGTACACATCGCATGAATTTTTCACATATCGTCACATATAGGATGAATCACTTCCCTAAAATAGGTGGCACCAATATTGGTGGATTTGAGAGATACTTCTTAATCTTCTTAATTTCGATTTATCATTTGTCATTCCATTCACCATAATTATACTATGAAGAAGATTGAAAATGGAGTCACGTTTAGTGATAAAATGAGATATGATGCGCACAATAGTGTTCAAACCTCCTACAAAGCCCTTTACTTTTTCTTTGTATTTGAGCAGGTGACAAATTATGAGAGTGCATATCTTATCCAAATCCTCTTCAATCTCTCTCCCATTGACAATAAAGCCCAAAAATTTGCTTGAAGTGACAGCAAATGTGCATTGTTTTGGATTCATCTTGAGTTGGAATCTCTCAACCTCTCAAACAACATTTTGGGATTAATGGTTTTGCCTCACATTGATACTCTTGTTGGCAATACTACAAGACATGATTTTGTGTTCTCATTTATGGATAGAGTTTCAAGATATATACAACCAAATTAAAATGATCCCAAAAGATACGAATAAAACGACTTTCATGACAATGAGGGGGATGTTTTGTTATAAAATGTTGCCCTTTGGACTAAAGAATGCTAAAACCACATATCAAAGAGTCACGATAATTCCATGACAAAATGAATAAGGAGGTGTAGGTGTTTGTTGATAATATGATTACAATTTTTCTTTTGAACTTGATTCAAATCTCAATAGTCTACACACATTTGTACTTTTCCATCTTTTAGGGAACGATGACTATGTTGGCTACCCACGTAAGATACTTAGTCAATTCCAAGAGTCGTGCATCAAACTATTTCTCCATTTCCTCTTTGATTGTAAACAATATTTCTTGTTTAAGTCACCTTTAAATTTTCTTGTGAGGTTTACATTCCATCTTCAGAGGCAACTTATGTACCACAATGCCCGTACTAAGTCTTGACATATCATAGTATAACTAGGGGAACACATCCACATACTTACAAAGTAGCTTTATTGATTCTTTTTTTCAAAAGGTGAAAGCATTGTACCGATTTTCACTTCTTATTTTCTATATCTCCCATATTAATTATTTCTATGGGCTCTTGGTAAGGTTCTATCTATTTTTCTTCTTGTTCAACCAATCTTAACAAGTCAATAGACAATGCATAATAATCTACATTCTCTTTGTTATCAAATTCACCAACGCATGTGTTTTCTTCAAAATCAAGTCCAAGATTTTTTTTTTATTACTATCCTTATACATATTACTTGGAAACCTAAAAATGTGTAAAATTAAAGAGATATAGTCATGAAAACAAAAAGAAGAAATGTGAGAATGCATTATACATGTCATTTTTATTTAAATGATATTGAATAAACAAAAAAGCCCATTGTACATTAAAGACTTTCCTTAAGCTCTTAGGCATAACTGTTAAGGAATTCAATTTACCGCATTACTTTTCAAAAGATTCAAGAACAATTGGTAGATCCATAATCTTCAAATTATTCAACACCATGCCAGGTGGTCTCGATTATAGCAATCGTGTCTTCGTATCATCCTCCCATTATTCTTCACCCACTATTTGCATGGAGACTTTAGCAAAAGCATCTTCCAAGATTTCTATAAATTGGTGATCATGCACTATATTTTTTCATTACCTTGAATGATTTTAGCCACATGAATGGAAGGTTTCACGAAAGTTTGGAAAGCTTATTCTTTTTGTTTAAGTTGGTTTTATTGGTCTAAAACGAGCTAATCTCTTTTCTCTTTTCTTAAACATCATTTCAATCTTTTCCTTCCTTGTGGACTAATTTTTCAACCCCACTGAGAAGGAAGGAACTTGATCACTTGTAACAAAGGCTTCTTGATCGCTCATAACTTTCTTCCTAAATTAACCTTAACATGACATCTTCTCTTTATAGTTTGATTGATCACCATCTTGAAAGCTATGGATAGATGTAGAGTGGGCATTGTCGAACCTTCACTCACATAGGTTGCATTGAAAAATTCAAAAGATCTGAAAGAACATTCAAACATTTCTTTTGCAGCCTTTATGTATGGAGTGGTCGAAGGTTGAGTTATGAGTACATTTTCTTCTCCAAAGACTCATATAAGATGTTCGAAAACTATAAACTTAACTTTTTATGTAAAAAATATTAGATGTTCTAGACCATATGAATCCATGGTTGTCCTAACGAACAACTATAGAATGAAGTGATGTCCATGACCTAGAATTGAATGTTAAAGGTACAAGGGCAAATTTTTATCATTAACTCAATGTCAC